TTTTTGACACTAGCCGTCTTAAAACACGAACAAGAAAAACGCTAAGCAGGTTAACGGGATTGTCCTTTACAAATAAAGGTAGCTTCTGCACGAAAACTTGATTTTGAGCAAAAGGTTTGTAGTATAAGCTACAGCAATTCTCACTGAAAAAATTTTTCGGTGACTCTACCGTTGTTGTTGTAGCGGCAGAAAACATTCCTAAAGTTATTTCGAGGCATAGTGCAGAGTTGAGAGTTTTTGGCTGAATAAAAATCCGGGTATGTTCCGGTTACTTAAACCCAACGGTAATGGGATTCGTGGGATCATTGCAATATCACAGGTTGGCTTTTCATTTAGGCTCTGAACTTTGTCATGCTGGTTGCTATGGTGGCACTGTGCATTTGCTGAMGCCTTGGCGGTCTGCTAGACTCAGGTAGTGAGTGAACGTCGGGAGTGGCAAGACCTCAAGTGTCTGACCTACTGGGAAAAGCGAGTTATCGGACGATAAGTCTCCCCTAAGTTGGCAAACTTGCCAGGTTTCARTAGTGGAACCACTTTTTCGACTATTAAAAAATCGGGTATTTGAAGAGTGGCGACCGGTCGAGTACCTTGGTTACGAAACTTACTTCCGTCGAGCCAGGYGTTTTAGCATTATCTTGTTTATTCCATCAGCGACCATTACGTCCGTAGCAATGGTGCAGTGAAGATCGCGATGTTTAGGATATAAATAGTTTATTTATGAATTGTTTAGTTAACCTACTTAACCTTAAAATACCTTAAAAATTTGAAAGACTAGCCGATATTACTTTAATGTAAAGTAAATGTTTCAAGACAAATCTTGAAGTGCAACTCCCGAAAATATCTAATATCTCACTTTGTCTTCAACTCACCTGCGCGAAGAGTGGCTCTTCTGCTATGGAACCCAATGTGCCAGCAGGATCTGGCGGCGTCAATTCCACACTTTCACCCGTGAACTCTGTATCGAAGTAACGTGTATCTGTATCGGACACTACTTGTGGCTTAAAAGGCGGTGTTATCTACAAGCAGTTAAATAAAATGCAATTAATATGGAAAAAAAATGTGCAACGCCACAAAAACATACCCTCTTATTCACTAAATCCGTCCAATTAATACTCGCAAAGAAGGGATGTGCTTGTATCTCTTTGACATCATCTTGTCCACCGCCTAAACGTTGACGTGGATCCTTAGCCAAAAGTCCGGCAAGTAAACTGCGCGCCTCATCAGAAATTGTGCGGGGGAATCTCACCTCCTCCATTAAGATAAGTGTGAAGAGTACATCATGATCTTGATTAAAGAAAGGAAGACGTCCACATATCTGTACAAAGACAAAAAATATAAAAGTTAGAATTAAAAAAATAGATTTTTAAATAACACAAAATTTTAAAATTTTAAATAAAAAAATATAAAATTCCWAGTTTAAAAATTTTATGCCGAGAAATATGCATACGCACCATCTCATACATGACGACACCGGTGCCCCACCAATCGACTGCATGCCCGTAATCGTTGTCCTCTAATACTTCAGGCGCCAGATATTCGGGTGTACCGCAAAACGTCTTCGTTGTACGACCATACGTGATATCCTCTTTACATAGCCCAAAGTCAGCGATCTTAATGTGTCCATCTTTGTCTAGCAATAAATTTTCCAACTTTAAATCACGATATATAATGCCTTGCGAGTGTAGGTAACCCAAGGCGGAAATTATTTCAGCACCATAGAATCGCGTACGATCCTCGCTGAAAATACGTTCACGGCTCAAGTGAAAAAATAATTCACCGCCATTTACGTATTGCATCACAAAACACAGACGATCGTTTGTTTGAAATGAATATTTAAGTGACTGCAAAAAATTAATGGAAGAAATAGAAGAAGAAAATGTAATTGATTATATTAAAATTTTGTTATTTGTAACAACTCGGGCCTTTCGTGCCAACTTACAATTAGGAAGGGATGATTCGTAGTTTGCAGCACACGACTCTCGGTGATGGTGTGCGCGATCTCATCTTTTTGTATGATAACTTCTTTTTTGAGAATTTTAATTGCATACAGCTTTGCAGTGGCCTTCTCACGACACAGAATTACTTTGCCAAATGTGCCTTTGCCTAACACTTTTATAAACTCGAAATTTTCAAGCGTCTGCAAGAAAGCAAAGAAAACGGATTATGTTTTAATTATATTGTATGTAAAAATAAAAAAAATTAGAAAATATCTATTTAAAGACAAACCACCACAACTATGATTTTTAGCAAGTTCACGGAGCGTATATTTAGTTGATTTTAGACATAAAAATTTACTAGTTTTAAAATGAACCTTGTTGTTGTTGTTTTAAATGTATATGAATCCCCGTTAGGATGGTAAGGGCTATCCAGGTTGTCGTCGACGTTATCTAGCGGGAGGCCCAGGAAATGTGCTGTTTCGGCGGGATCGGACCAAATGGAGAGGGGTGTTAGATGAGTGGGGTTGGCAGGGCATGCAAAGAGGTGGCCAGTGTCATGCGGAGACTCATTGCAATCTGAACCTTTTCAACGGTTTGTCTTAACTTACATATGTATATACACACAATTTGTTCCCAAAATTTATCAAATTATTTGCTTTTACAACCGCAAAATTCAACCAACTCGAGATTGTGACACACAGTTCGGCCGAAAAGTGTAGAAAAGCATAAATCATAGCATAAACATTGTAATATGTTGTTAGTGTTGTGTTTCACATTAAAATCTACTAAGATAACAACATTGAGGTTATGTTTGAAACTAAATATGAAGCTAAATTGTAAAAGATTTAACGTTGTAACTTTTTAACTGCCTTATAAACAAATACCTGTTTTCATTATTTTATTTTACTTAAAAAAATGTATTTTACTAAAATAATCAAATAATGTCGATAATAAACACGGCAACAACGTTGTAACGAGTTGACAGTAAAACGTTCATGACGCAAAACATTTCGACTGACTCGACTTAATATCGTGAAAACAATGACGCAAAACGTTTCTACTGACTCGACATAATATCGTGAAAATAATAAAAACTAATTACGGCAATGTTTTTACTAACTTGTGCCGAATATCGTGAAAGCAGTAAAAAAAATGCTTGCAATTGCAATTTTTACCAGAAATAATTTCGTAACTAGAACAAGAACAACCGTTAACTTGGGTTGCACCGAAATATTAATAACCCCTCCCAAACAAAAAAAATTTCCATACAACAGCTGAATTTTGATTTGATAGTTTGCATAAGAGCTATATACCGTAGTGGACCGACTTTAACACTTAGTTTGAAAATTCTAACATTGACTTGGAAAATAAATCGAGCAAAATAGCGTGAAAAAACATCTTGCCAAATAAAAACGCTTTCCATACAAAAGCTTAATTTTGATTGGTCAATATGTAGTATGTATTCTGTAGAGATCCGATATCGGCGCTTCCGTCAAATCGATTTCTCAAAACCTGAGGGTCTAGCCAAATGCTGTGTTTGAAATATTTATTTTCAAAATCTTAGGTCAAAATAATTTAAGCCCCAATATACCACCTAAACGTATGTATGTATGTATATACGTTTCAAATTTAATTTTTGCAAAATAAATTACTAAAGCTTACAGGCTTTAGGCCTGCCATTTAAGCCATTTTAAACAAATATGTGTGTATGTATAGTTTGTTAATACTTACGACTTTTTTAACGCCGCCACTACTGCGTTTCGTTGTGCCCTGCACTGAAAAACTGTTACGCAGTTCCACTTCGGCAATAGATGCCATATCCACATCAGACATATCTGTTGAGGTCGAGGGTGACATGGCCGTTTCGCCCAGCTCACTCAAGCGACTTGCTACATTTCTGTATATAGGAATAAGTAAATAATAAATATTAGACAGTAGAAGTATAGAAGCATAGCAATCGAGTTGTTGAACTCACCTGATGGCATCGGTCCACTGTTGCCGTTCGATCTCTCTTTCCACACAAAATGTACGTTCGATAACATTGGTCCATTGTAGACCGCGTATAATAAAAGTGAACGGTTTGGGTCGATCGACTGTCATAATTTGACAACCGCGTACTGTGAAATTATTTAATGGATCAGCGGGTGCATTATTCACCGGCGGACTTTTATAGCCCATCAAGGTGCCGTCATCGCGCAGTATAAAATAACGTGAACGCCAGGTTTTTATGTGTTCGCCACGCTTCTGTAACCAACCCTCCTTAACGATGGTAGCGTGTGGACCACCGCCAAGCGGTTCATATGTGGGCGATAGACCGAGCGCAGCTGTACTGCTGCTGCTATTCGGTGCAGCTGTGCCACTAGCAGCCATTGTAGCACGTTGTATGCTGCCACTACTGTTTGGCGTGTGCTGAAAATAAGTACTCGTTGTTGTAGCAGTTGACGAACGATTTTGTGTTTGCTGCTGATAATTTTGTTGTTGTTGCTGTTGCTGTTGTGGTTTTGTGTAGTACAATGTTGGCGGCAAAGCAGAATTTGGTGCTCCTTTTATTAATGCCGGGTCTTCTATGTTCGCGTAGGCGGCAGTGTTGTTACTATTACTATTGTTATTACTATTACTACTGCTGCTGAAGGGATTTGAGAATGTGGCGACGAAACTCGAACTCAGTAATCCAAGCGCCGACGAGGACGACGAGACACTCGATGAAGCAGAAACAGATCCTGCTGATGTGGCGAGCGCTGTAGTGCTGGCGGCTGGTGTTTTACCACCACTTGTTGCGACTACAGTTGACCGCCGCGACGAAGAGAACGTCAGGTAATTCGTGGTGAGGCCTTTTCCAATAAACACAAATCACAAAAAAACAAAATTGATAACAACGCGTTAACTTATCACACAAATGATTATGTTGGCATCCAAAGCGACAATGGAACAAAACGGAATGCAATACAAAAAAGAAGGAAAAAATACAAACGCAGAATAACAACAAACAGCGTTGATACGACGATGCGGTTAATGTAAAAGTGGCGAAAACTTTAGCGAAGACAACGACACCGACACCGCAATGTAAACAAGCACAGCTTGTAAACGCGCTCTGACCTCACTCACTGACTTATTTGTGCTTTGTTATCACAACAACAACAAGAGATGCGTAGAGATTTTCCACAGACACTGTTTAATTACTGGGACTTGTCTTTTTCTCAACTTGCTCGCAACAATCCCGTTCCTCGTCTCGGTGTTGTTTTATTTTCTTTTTAAATTATTACACTTCTTCAGGGTTAGTATTATTCCAAAAAAAAAAAATTATAGATGTGCAAATATGCATGTAGTTATACTATATATACGCCACTAGGTGAGTCATATGAAGCGCCCGTGCGTTTGTTCGTTCAGTGCACTTCGGTCTCTGAAATGGAAGTGAAGAAACATTATTAGTTGAAGAGTCTGTAACGCTACCAAATAGGTAAACAAAATTAAATTACATACTACAGAAAAGTCAGCAAATACCAACAACAACAAACAAACAAACACTACTGTCGTTGCCGCTTAAAACGTGAGCGTGTACAAGTCTGTACGAACACACTTACATGTATACCTGCCTACCTCGCGCACATCACAATGGTAAACAGTGAAGTACAACAGCAACAAGAACAATTTTGAAACGGCTCATAAGTCAAGCACACACACATTACCGTGCGCAACGCGTAAAGTCTAAAATGTCGCAAATGATTCATGGCGCAAAATAACTCGTCGTAGCAAGAGTGCCCCCGCACGCCACCACAAATACCTGATACATACATATACTCGTATGTACATATATGCATCAGCAGTCAAACAAACAAAACACCAAATGGCCGTCACCACCAGTCGCCAAAACTCAGCCGCCATAAAGCCACTATGCGTCGAGAAGAGTCATAAAACGCCGCTGATCGGATGCGATCGCTGGCGACTGTAGTGCCACATCTGCACCTAACACCCCATTGACGCAAAAAACAATTTCATCATCGCTATATTGCCCGCCCTTTGCTTTGGTGAGCATTGAATGCAACCGCAAAACGATATCGGTTTTATCGCTTATGTGTTTTCATTGTAAAAACCACAGAATATTTTGATTAATTTTATTCCACATTTTTTATTTTAAATTAGCGTAATCCACGTAATTATGCAAATTTAAAATAATATAAGAATAGCATTTACTTAGGCTGCACTGAAGCTAAAATAARCTTCACAGCTCAATTTTGTATATCATAAACGGGTACTCGTACAATGGCTGTGAATTCGGCACCATTCATCGAAATTACTTCAGGAATGTTTTCTGCTCTACAACAACAGCCCTCAGTCTAATTTTTCTTAGTTGAAGCTTTGATTTCGAAACAGTACGAATGATTGCCGCTCATTCAGCAGTCGAGGGTGCGCGGATTGTTCTATATTCTCAAGTAGCCTTATGTGATTGACCATGTCAAAAGTTTTTGACAAGTCCAACACTGCGAGAATCGTATTGGCTTTCGGTTTAGGCCGTGAACTATCTGATACAATGTGCTGTGCACTTTCCTTAAGCCATACTGATGGTCCTTGTGCTTGTTAATGACAGTCTGAGCCTCCTCATCGGTGAAAGTATGTGSCGCGCAATCTCTTGRCAYTTTCGCAGCCAGTTCGGGTCCGAAGTGGCATGGCCATCGAATTGAATTTCAACTCGGTCATCATGTCTTATCATATAAGACAAGGCCTTGACAATAGTCCAAAGCTTACTTACACCGGGGGAGAGGTTACAAGAAGAAAAAAAGCGCTTGGAAATTGGGGCAGAGTGTCAGCATGATACCGTGAGTTTAACATTCGTTTATTTATTGCGAAAAACTTAATCGATTTTTTATGCTAATTTGTGATAATAACTTTTAAAAAAGATTTGAGTATTAATTCTTAATGTGCATATCCACTAATTGTGAAAATTGTGTAATTGTTACTGAAGTCTAAACTTTTCTTTTACATTTCAGCTACATTCTGCAAATGTTATTAATTTCATAAATTCCTTCTTAAAAATTTGAATATAATATTAAAAACATGTTATTGCTCGTAAATTTGCCACTGTTATTGTTGTTGCGGCAGAATATATTCTGGAAGTATTTTCAAAGTACGGTGCCGAGTTGGTAGTTCTTGGCCTGATTTCAAGCCGTCTGGACCTGTTACTTAGACCCGACTATTGTGGAAGTGGAATTTGCCCCTATTATCAATCGACTTCCCCTTGTTCGTATGTTTAAAAATAGTATTAGATAGAAATCTAAAATGGAAATCAACCCACTTATTTAGTACGAGCTCTTTCTATAAAAATAAAATCCAAAACAATTAAAGCAACCCCGCCCACAAGCTAGAAAATGTAACGCTAAATTCTAAACAAATACAAAGCATAATGCAGAGCAAACCTTGGCTTCGGTGTAAATTTAGCCATTTCCCCATTCAACATGCGACACCACCCGCGAAGAGTTATTGTTCTACGAATTTGCAAAGACATCCTTTCATGCGAAGAAAGTCGACGAAAATAGTTAGTGTAGTTAAATGTAAACCAATTTATGGTATCTTTCGTTTATATTCAGTGGCTTGCGACCTTCAAAGAAAGGCCAAGATCTAGTGCCAAATTTTCTACACACACAACCAGTAATTTTTGCACAATGCAAATAAATTGTGTTCTATGGGATTAGATTTAGGTAAAACTGTATTACATCTGATTCATGGAACAGTTTTTAGAAAGTTCATTTCTTTTTTGCATAATGCGCGAGTTTTGTTTTCATTGTTAACCTTCCTATAACCGTGCCAAATGTTTTAACACCTATACCCGCGCACGGTGTGACAGACCGTGACTTTGACTCCTCTTACCTGGTTATTTTTCTATAAAACCGTTTATATATTTTTTATTTTATAGGAACAATAGGATTAAATAAAACAAAAAATATCAATTGTTAGCATAAATTATTTATTACTTAAATGACTATCAGTCTTTCCAAAACAGCCGGTCGTTCGTCGGTCTCACGGACATGTGCGCGGGTATAGGAAGGTTAAGGAAACAAATAAACTGAGGATGTTTAATGTAAACAGGGTGCTTCAAAGTATAATTATTTAAGAAGTCGAAGCATTTCGAAATATTGTTTATTATGCTATAGTTGAGGTTATCGTTTTCGCTAATGAAAACTATGTAGCATTTATAAAAATAATTTTAAATAAAAGATTATTTCATACATTTATAGTGAAAGTGACCACTTGACACCATTTACACCTTCATAACGTCTTCTCCGAACTATATTATGAGAGACACACATTACATATTCAATTAAAGTTATTATTGTATGGCTTTGCAGAAACGCTATCACAGAAAAATTCATAGTTTGAATTCCTATAAAACACCTGTCGCATATGGGCACAATTAAAGAGTGCATACTGATGCAAATGCACCGATATTGAGCGGCGCATATTAATGTGTAGATATAGTATGTACTCTTATGCATTTCATGGGCGTGCAGCTCGTCATTAGCTCTCGTTACGTTGACAGCAAATAAAGCGACAATTTCCACACGTATGTAACTGTTTTTTTTTTATTTTTTTTTTTATTTATTAGTTTAGTTTTTGCGCAAATTGTTCATTCAAAACAACTGTGAGTGTGTTGTGACTGTCAAACTCAAATTAAATGCATATCAACCAATATGTATGGAAGAATATACGGCTTTCTGTTGTATACCTGTGTCGTAAACAGTGCGTAGAATTGATCATACAGGAATGCACTTTCAGCAAGTAGTTAGACAATGCAAGTTAGATTCTTTCAATTTTAATGCAAATAATCTCAAAAAGATTTCTTTTATAAGTTTTGAAACGAAAACTTGGTTTAGAAGCCCGAATTTTAGGTATTTTTTTTTTTTTTGACGCGTGACCTAAAATGAAAATGTATGCGAGTAAAAGCGTAGTTACCGCACTGCGAAACGTTTTTGAAAAAAAAAATGTTTGCAAAATGGTGGAGGTTTCAAAAAAAAATTTTGTATTTTCCCTGTTTTTTGTGATGAGGAATTTTTTAACCTTCCTATACCCTCGTACATGTCTGTGAGACCGACGAAAATATTTTCGTAAATATTTTTTCAGGCTGTTTTGGTAAGACTGATAGTCATTAAAGTAATGAATAATTTATGCTAACAATTGATATTTTTGGTTTTATTACATCCTAAAATCCCTATAAAATAAAAAAAATATAAACGGTTTTATAGAAAAATAACCAGGTAAGAGCAGTCAAAGTCACGGTCTGTCACACCGTGCGCGGGTATAGGTGTTAAAACATTTGGCGCGGCTATAGGAAGGTTAAACATGAAATAAAAACTATTTCGAAAGATCTACGTAGTGCGATACTATAATGTATAAGAAAGCTTGTGGGAAATTTCATGTGAATCGGTTGAGTAGAACTTGAGATATCATGCACACCGTTTCTAGAAAAGTAGTTATGAAAAAAACGAGTTTAAAGTTTGATAAAGGCTGCGAAACGGTTTTGTCGGCGCATCACAAAATGAGCTGTAAAACGGAAAGTAATTTGAATTTCGAAAAATCCTCTTAGGGACATTTCCTTGAAGGGTTATACTCTAAAAATATGCAAAAACAAAATGTTTTCCGAATTTCTAAACCAGAATACCCCTAGAAATATAATGCATGCCGAAATGACGTATTGCAGTGGGCTCGGTCGGTGCTTATGTGTACCTCATAAGAATGAAAATTAATGAAATAAACGATCTCAGTCAAAAAAAAAAAAATATTTTAACCAAATAAGTAATACTAAATATTTCGAAACATTTCAAAAAGTTGATAATTAATGTATTGTGTGGTACCTAGAAACTTAAGTTGTAGGTGAAATTATTATCATACCGTACTCAAAATCAAAAATCCACTAAATAATGTTCTGAAAGCACTTTTCTTGCGAAAGGGTATATCACAATAAAACAGCAACAATAAACAATACCCCCTTTAATGGCTCCCCGATTTTCTTACGTTAAATATGTACACACGTGTGTATTAAGGTATGTGTGTATGTTTGTACATAGCATGACAGTAAAATGATCGGTTGTTCTCGTCGCTTCGTCTTTATCGTCACTATCAGCAAAGCACAAAATATTAAATTAACAAATATAATTGCAAATATGGCTAAAATCGTCACTGTCAACACATAATAGTTTTATTTATATTATAAATTGTTATTTTTGTTGGCATAACAGTTGGCGTTGGCTACGTTAACGTATACAATTTCACAATAAATAGAGGATAGTTTATCAACCTTAAAGCGTATCGAAACGAAAAAGTGCAAATAAATGTAAACGATATATAAGTACAGATGTACATATGTATGTAGTATATATAATAAGAAAATTCATAAGCTCAGTAATTATT